ACTCATAATATGTCCTCTATAACATACTTATAACTTAATAGCAATAGGTCAATCTTTGGTTAATACTGTCTACTTCTAACAGTGCAAAACAATTTCACTCACAAATACTGCTCTTTTAAACAAATATTTAATTAATACAAAACAATCAGTTTAGCATTAAGGAAATAAGGCTCCTTCCGATATTTCTTCATGACAAAACAGACAATAAATCTGAGTCATTTGGGTTCTTGAACTCAGCCCAAAGCTAATAATATCACATAGCCATGTTTGAAGTAGATAAATCTTTCCTATTATTGGGGAAGTAACTAAAAAGTGTATCTTGCTATAAAGTAAAAATAATTCTCATGGAATACATGTATTTAACATTTGCTCTGAGACATAATAGAAACTGTCTCTGATTAACCCATTTTTAAGTACATGTTTACTTAAACTAAAGCTTTACATTCAACAATAAGTGATCACCTATCATCTGCTAATAGGGTTTTTTTAGAAATAAAAGCTATTATACTTTATTAAAATATGTTTTTAAAATAGTATACTGTCTTTTCAGATAACTGCATATTCTGATAACTCTTCAAATTCCATTGCTATTTAAATATAGAAATTTAAGAAGGTAAAGCATAGCAAATGCTTTACATAAATGAAAATATACATAACTCCTTCATAACTAAGTAAAATTAAGCACAGTAGTACACATCTATTTTTCAGTAGCAATTTCTAAAAATGCTTTTCTTTTCCTTTCTTTCTTTCTTTCTTTCTTTCTTCTTCTTCTTTTTTTTTTTTCTTTTTTTTTTTTTTGGTCCCTCCAAACAGGGTTTCTCTGGGTAACAGTCCTAGCTATCCTAGAACTTTCTTTGTAGACCACACTGGCCTTGAACTCACAGAGATCCACCTGCCTTGCAAGTGCTGGAACTAAAGCTGTGTGCCACCAATGCCCAGCCAGAATTTTATAATACACCTTTAAAAATAAGACTACAGGTTTAAGAGATTAATACACAAAAATGAGTCCATTATTCTTATAAATTATGATGCTAATTTAAGAAGTAATTGTTGCCCTCATTAATAAGATATATAGTGAAACTTCTCTGGCTGCAGGCAGGCCAGGGTCACCAGGACGAGCGCCCCTGCTAGTCACAGCCACCATTAACAGCTATCACTTCACTATGACACTGGGCTGAAGGAAAAGGAAACGGGCAAAAGTTCTCAATTAAACAGGGATCAAAACGATACTTTATAATGACAACAAAAACCAAGTATGATCAAAATGCAGTCGCTAAAAATAACTTTTTTTAAAAAGTAATTTTATTCTATTACAGGTTTCCTACAAATCCACTAAACAGATAAATATGTAATCGCCCAAACTCAGCTATCATAGAAACAAAGACTTAGTTTCCTCCCAAGAGATCAAATGTTTCAGAATTCTCTGGGAACAGAAATTAAACACAACCTGTTAATAAATTTGCCTCCCCCATCCTAACTTGTACAGCAGCTACGTTGTTTATATACTGAAAATAAGGTACAACAAACCCTTAAAATTATTCCCTACTTTGCAGGAGTTAAAAGAGAAACAAAACCCAAAAGGAAGATTTTCTTATTTCTAACAATGTTTATGTGAAACCAAGTTACCCAATTACTTGATGTTTAGACTTGATCAACAACAATAACAAGAAACCCATAGTATGTATAGACAGTGTTTTCTCTTATTGTTACCAACCTTGTTCTAAATCACAAATCTTAACCATGGATCCCATACACTCTATCTAGGGTCTAGACTCACACACTCAGATTATTATGTAAATAAGTGACCCTGGAACCCTGTACAAACTCACCCACTACCCACCAACATTTCATCATATAATACTTCAAAGATTCTAAGTATGGTTCTGTACTCAATCACTGTCAGTCTTCAGGGATGAAACTCACTGGGATGTAAAACTACCTAATCCCATTATTTCCACACTTATAATCAGCTAGTTCATAGATTCCCAATATGAGTGCTGTTCTACGGTTGCTATAATGGAGTACGACTCACAAAGGGATGTGTGCTCTCCAGCCTTTTTAAGTACTACTGGATTGAAAGGCACTCATCTTCCAGTTGCTGCACAATCAAGGAGGTCATTAAACCCCACTAATGGCCCAATGATATCTTACTACTTATACTTAGTTCAACCCAGAAAAAAGACATCCCTCCCACTATGTAAATAAATTGCAATCAACCACACTTTTGAAAGTCCAGCTAAATGACACCTGACAGTTAATCTTCTGTCTTGAAGATTTTGACAATGGCATAAAATGGATTCAAGATCCTATTATAGCAATGGTTTTATTAAGTTCTATTAAAACAGACTAAGTCCACAACCCCATAGTAGGCAAATGGGCATGGGAAAGGGAATCAACATCTTATTCTTTTAACTTACATAATGATGATAGTATGCAATAAGACAAATTTAAGAGGCAGTAAAGCGTGGAGTGTCACCTTACCAAATATACAAACAACTGAAAATTATTAAAGCTTTAAAAACAAAAGAAAATAGAGACAAGACACAATATTGGGAAGAAAAGCATCCTTATATTCAGTTACGTTAACAGGTTTAGGTCTGTTTATACAGCTCCCTAAAAAATTTACTCTGAAACAAAATATAAAAACCAAAATACACAAAATTAGTTAAGAGTTGTATGTTTAACTGAAGATAAAAATTCTCAAAAATGTAAAACGTGTTACACTTAGCAAAACATTTTACTTTGACATAGTAGGTAAAAATGGGCGATTTAAGGCCAACGTAAACTATTATCTGTACCTAAATACATTTTTAATCTTTAAAAGTCCCTTGATGGTGGAATTTCCAAGACAAAGTGTTTTTTATTTTTTTCAAAAGTTGTGTTTTGTTTATTTGCCTTTCAGGAAAAACCAATAAAATTATTCAACTAAAAACAGCATTGCAATTTGCAATAAAATTGACGCATTTTTGTAAACGGTTTGGAGAAGGGGGGCAAGCCCAATCTTTTTCATGTAAACATAATAAGCCTGTAATATGCTGCAGACAAACGCACTGCATGGGGTGTGGAGGACCCGAGCTGATTAGATTACCACAACATCAGCCTTGGGGCCGCCATTTTTAGAATCTGTAAAGGACAAAAGAGGGAAATTACAGTTTTTACTCTCCGTCTCAGAAATTAAAGGGAAAGGGGGTCTGTTTCCCAATTAGGTATTGCTAACTCCAACCTACAGCTGAATGCACCTTACTTAATTCTTCCCAAGGTCTCCAGAACTCCAAACACCTTATATTATCCACATCTCTAAAGACTGAATAAAATAAGCAACACAGAAATTTACTCTAAGACTAACTCCACTGATTTCTCTTTGACTTTAAATTTGATCATTCTCGAGACAGCCTTCTAAATAGGGCGGATCTAGGCGGAACTAAGGCCAGTGAAGCAAGCACCCGGGATTGTTTTTTCTCTCCCTCCTCCCCGGTTTAGCACAGGGAACCGTTTGTTTCTCATCTCTAACTGCTGCCACTGCGTTGGTGCCAACCTTTCGGTCAAAATAAGCTTTTCTGAAATGAGCCATATTGTGAATTCTAAGGCTTTGGCACAGTAGAGGACGGCAGTAATGCAAGAAGAGCGGGGGAGGAGACTGGGAAGGCTGGGGTGACCACCTTAGGGGCGGGTTTACCCTCTCCCGGAGAGGATGAGGAGCTGTCTCTTTCCTACAAAGAGAGATGCCCAGGGAGTTTTTTTTACCCCCCTTCCATGTTTAGGAGAACATTATGCCAGAAAGTGACAAGAAATAAAGGCAGGAAGAAGAAAACGAGGCCTAAACGTCTTCTCTCCGCACCCGAAACAAGATGCAGCTAGAAAAGAGAGAGAGATGGCAGCTCCCGGGACCTCTCCGACACAAGCCCCAGCAGTCACAAGCCTCCTCCTTCACCCCGGTGGCCTGAACCCGCTGCCAGGGAGGAGGGCGCCCCCTCCCTAACTCCCACTCTCTCAAGGGGGTTTAACTGCCAGTTTCCCCTTCCACTACCCCAAAACCCGCCATAATGCCCCCACTGCTATGGACAGGCAGGATAAAGGACAAATCCGATTTCCACCAGCGACGTCCGGCCCCAGCAAAGGCGCCCCAGCCTCAGTGTGGACGCCCGGCTCCCGAGGGGCAGCGACCCCTTCCCCGGAGCCCTAAGTGCCCCCCACCGCAGACCCCACGACTTCCACGGACACGACAGGCACTGACCTGTGATGGTCACACACCAGACACCCGAACCCTCTGATCGGCTCGACCCCCGACGAGTCACTCCACACCTCGGCACTCCGACGACCCCCGACGACAGCCACTGCGGACCCGAATCGATTCCACACCCCCTCCCCAGGCAGCGGCGCGCAGTGTCTTCAGTGGGAACCCGGGAGTCGGGCGCTGCGGGCCGCGGCAGGAGTGCTGGGGAGGCGGCGAGGCTGTCCCGACTGTCTATGCCCCGTCTGCTGCCGCTCCCGAACTCAGGCTCGATCTCCGACTCGGCCCCCTGCGCCCGCTCAGTGTCACTGCTTCTCGCTCTGGGAAAATGGCGGCGACGGCGGCGGCGGCGGCGGCGGCGGCGGCAGCGGCGGCGGCGTCGGCGGCGGCAAGCGCACGGGGCCCGCCCGCCCCGCTCCGCAGGGGCAGGGGGGAGGGGACGAAGCTGCCCGCCGCCATCTTGTTTATGGGCTGCCTCCAGGCGCGGCTTCTCCGCCGGGCCGTGGGGACGTCACGCGGGGGGCCGCGAGCAGGCCAGACGCTCGGTCTTTTTCAGCACCGGTGCATCCCGCCATTCGCCGACGGTGGTCGCGGTCTCGCTAGCTGGCGGGCTTGGCTCTCGCCCAGTTGTCCCTGAGTAGCCCTCAAGTCTGGATGTCGGTGAGCCTGAGGATGCCACTAGGAGGTAGAAGGATGACAGCAGGGACGGGGACGAGCCCCCTCCCATCACTCCCTAGAGCGCTGCCCTGGCTCCCACCCCCGAGCGGCCCTGGTCCCGGGCGCCCCCTCCCCCTCCCCGGTCTGGCCTGCCAGCGCCGGGCGAACCGGCTCGGGCTGTCACTCGACGCCTACTAGCGGCCGGGGAGGCTCCAGTGCGCAGGCTCCGGGCACCGGATAAAAGCGGAGCTGGCGAGTCCGGCGCGGTCACGATGGAGGAGCAAGAAACGGAAGAGGTCGGGGGGAGAAGCCGCAGACAAAAAAATGCCAGCCTCGTCAGCGCCGCCTCCCTGCCACCGTGTAAGGGGTAAAAGCTGCCGTGGCCGCCGCCGGTGCAGTCGCCGCCGCTGCCTCCTATACTTCCCCGCCGCGGGACAGTGTGCTGGGAGGGAGCGGGAGTTCGTTTGTGTGGCGGTGATTAAACGAGGGGGAGGGCAGAACTAGTTTCTCGAAGCGGAAAGGGGAGACCAAGGACTGAAACGGGCTTCCCCACTAAAAAAAAAAAGAAAAGAAAAGAAATCACACAGCGATTACGGATCTTGCTTTAGGGGGCCTTTTCCCCCCGAAATGGCGGTTTCCGTCTTCTTGGCCCCCAGCACGACCTTGGGTGCTCTGTTAGAAGAGTGGGGAGAGGCCGAGCGGTGTCGTCAGCCAATCGGCGCCTGGTGAGCTCGGCCGGGCGCGTCGGGATTGGCTGGCGATGACCTCATGCTGCAGCAGCGGGTGGGGCCAGAGTCGTCGGGGGAGTCTGTAGCAAAGGCAGAGAGGGAGAAGTGATGACGGCGATCGTTGTCGTCGCGGCCTCTTTGGAACCCAAGCGGCGGCGAAGGAAGGCGCAAGGCTCTTCCCTGGTCATTTGCTCCTCTCCCTGCGCGAGGTGAGGGCCCCGGCTCGGCCTCTGCGAGACTTTGGGGGCGCTAGCGCGGCCGTGGAGGCGCGATTTCTCCTATGACTTTTGTAACTGCGTCAGGGCAAGATGGCGCTGGGTCTCCTTGGGGCGCGGGGGGAGAGGCACGTCCACCGCCGCCGCAACGCATGTGACCGGCTGCATTCCTGTGGGGTTTGGCTGCGACCCAGGCTGGGGCGGGGGAGGGGACGGTGGTGTGGTCGGCGTTGGCTGCCTGAAGAGGAAGAGATGACTGTTTGAAAGCGCTTCCCCTCCCCCACGCAGCAGGACAGCTGCACCTCCCGGGGGAAAGCCCCCGAGGGACACTCCTTTCGGGGTGTGCCAGCTGTTCGTGGAGGAGAAGGTTTGACGCCCTATTTTCTCATCTGCCTTTCTCCTTGCTAAATGTACTTACATTATGTAAGGCGGCAGTTCCATCCTGCGTTCCAGCTAGGAAGCCCTGAGGGTCACTGGGCTGGGTAACAAGGACAGGCTAGAAGACTTGATTATTTCAGGCAAAACACAAAAGTTCTCAGATCTGAATATTAACAATACAGTGTACCCACAGTTTGGAAGCAAGTGAATAACACCCAGGAACACTTTAAGTTTAGTAGAACAGGCAAGCAGTTAAGGACTGTATCTCAGTCTGAATTAAGGGCCCTCTCAAACTTTCTTTTCCTTATATACTTTGTATCCATTACCCTCCCTGCCTGGACATCCCCTGAGATTATGGACTCTCTTACTGGTGAGGGTTGCCTTGTCAAATATAGGTATCCTTGGTGATAGAGAATACAGCTGCTGGTATTTTGTTCTGTATGAAACTAAAAGGTCGTTTTTCAATACTCGACGTTGCATTTATGTCGTCCTTTTTTAAAAAATAAAAGATGGAATTACAATTGCTTCTGGTAAATATTATTCGTTAAATTCTTGAACCTGCGCCTTTAAAGCACATTTTGTAATAGCATAAGATGTATTTTAGTGGGATTGAGGGAATGAGGGTGAAATTGGGTTTTGGTTTCCAATATCCTGGACTGGATTGGAACTCGTGCCTACCCACTCCTAGGATTACAGGCTCTAAATACCTGGGTACTTTTTTTTTTTTTTTTTGAAAAAACAGTGTTGGTGCTAAGAGAAAATGAATGCTTACTGGTCCTAGTAACAGCTTTAACCTGAGCCATGGTTATGTTATTTATTTTTAGTTGTAGGGCCTTTTTATAGTTGGAAAATAAGATTTGGTTTGTAGCGTTGTTTTGTGGATTTTTTTTTGTTAAGTAACAATGGGAGTGAACTAAAGCAGTATTTTAAATGTAAATAGTTACGTATTACAAAGTTCAATAAATACAAAGCTTTTCCCCTTATCTATTTAAAATGGATATTTTGTGTAATAATTTAACAGCCTTTTGTTTTCTGTGTGTGAATCCCATTGCTCCTTTACGTCTTTTTTCTTAGGAAAAAATTAAATATGAAGACAGACTATAATTTTCAAAGGGTTCTCAAATTTTCTTCTTAATAAGGAAGAGAAGCCATTTTCTAGGCTAATGGAAACGAATCCTTTGTGCTGGTTGCTCCTATTCTTTCCTGTTGTTGACTCCGTAAAGTTCATAAACTCTTTTAATTTTTCTAAAATGGCATTTTCACTCTTGGGTGAAATACACTCGTGGTTGCACAAGCTTAATCCTAGTTTTGGGGAGGCAGGGGGGAGTAAGAGAGTCCTGAGATTGGAGGCCATCGTTTCCTACACATCGTGTTGGAGGGTCAACCTCCATTGCATGAGACCCTGTCAACACCTTGTAATTACTTTTCATTTGTATAAATTCTTTAATTTGTGACTATTCTTTTTTATTCATTTCTGTTGTAGTTCTAGTTTTAGAGTTGTAGCGATTCATTGTTAAAGCTTCAGGTACTGGAGACTTTCTAAATTGATAAAAATCCCAAGCTTGTTTCTTGAATTGTAAGAATTTTCTTTTCTAGTAATCTCAAAAAAATTGCCAAATTATACCCAACCTTTATTTTTATTTAAATGATTGTCTCTTGCTTACTTGTAATCTTAACTGGGGTGACACATAACAAATTTGCTGCTGTACTAAAACACCATGTCAAAATATACCTGTGCATTTGTTCCACTGTCTGGAATAAACATTCCCACTTCCAGATAACACAGCTTTTTTTTTTATTTTTTAACGTCTCTACTTCCAAATGCTTAGGGCTTTTGTTCATATTAGTGACCAAGCCCACTAACAGATAGTTGATAAGCGTTTGAGTAAACATACTGGCTTTCAAACTTTTCAAAAAACTGTTTTGACCAGAGTTTAGATGAGAGGAAAAGATAGTGTGAGGGCAGGGCTGAGAGCAGCTGATAGGACAGAGATAATTCTGCAAAAAGCAGAGAAGAAAAATTATTGTGGGGTGGTCTTTTTTGTGTGTCTGTGTGTGTTTGTCTTCTGGTTGTTTTGTTTTTTTCGAGACAGGGTTTCTCTGTGTAGCCCTGGCTGTCCTGGAACTCACTTTGTAGACCAGGCTGGCCTGTTAGAGATCCATCTGCCTGCCTCTGCCCTACCAGTGCTGGGATTAATGGCGTGTGCCACCACCCACCACCTGGCTTTTTGGGGTGTTCTTATTAAATGTGTTTCCCCTATAGACTTAGCGGAAAATATAAAAACAAAAACATGGGTGGACTTAGAACCTTTTGATGTATTTGCAAGTTTATCAAGGTGTTGTTTACTCAGATGTTAGATTCAATTTGCAGCGGCCTTGTTTAATTCTGTTGCTGAAATTGTGTCACTGACGGCTTCTAGTAGCTGTGGGTTTTAGTGCACAGAAGATTTGTGGTCCAGTAAGAGGGCTTATTTACATGATAGGTAATGAGAAAGAAACTCAGAACTCATTCAGTCAAGTCTGAATGTTGGTGTTCATTGTCTGCTCTTAGAACATTGTGGGTATGTCATCTAACAGATTTCCCAAAAGAGTGAGAAGGCCTTCCACTTTAACTTAGAACTGGTCTTTATTTGAAATTCCCCTATATGTTTTATCCATGCCCCTGACATTTAGTGTCCTCTTGAGAATACAAAACTATATAAAAAAAATCATACTGAAAATGGTTGTAACTGAAATCATTTGAGAGACAAATAAAATGTTAGGGTTTGGCTGGGCAGTGGTGGCTCATGCCTTTAATCCCAGCACTTGGAAGGCAGAGGCAGATGGATCTCTGTGAGTTTGAGGCCAGCCTGGTCTACAGAGCTAGTTCCCAGACAGGCTCCATAGCTACAGAGAAACCCCATCTCAAAAAACCAAAAATAAGTAAATAAAGGATGTTATGGTTTGTTGGGCCTGTAATGACAGTGCTTAGGAGGTGGAGTAATGGGAGTCACAAGTTCAAGGCCAGTTTGAGCTACTTGAGACTGTTAAAAAGTTTACAGTTAAATATGCACGTGGTCTGTTGAGTTTGTCTTTAGAATTTGATATCACCTGCCTGTTCCTGAATAATATCTTTTTTTTTTTGAATAGTAAAAATACCCAACTCCATGTTTGCAGATAGGGCTCTGAAGATTCTAAATATTTACTGAGTTGTAGATAACTTGAATCTAGTTGTTTGTTTTGTAATGAAATTGTAACCCAGCAAAGAAGTGGCAGGAGGAGGATCGAGAGGTTCAAGGCTAGACTGGGCTACAAGACCTATAGTTCTCTGAAATTTTTAGGTGAGCTAGTGTCGTATTTATTATTCTGACTCTAAATTAAATGTGTTAACCATATATGTAGTTACAAAGAGGGAGGGGAGCCAGGCAGTGGTGGCACACTCCTTTAATCCCAGCAGAGGCAGATCTCTTGAGTTTGAGGCCAGCCTGGTCTAAAAAGTGAATTCCAGGACAGCCTGTCCACAGAAACCTGTCTCAAAAAAAAAAAAAAAAAAAAAGACGGGGATTCTTTGGATATCCAGTATAAAATTGTAAACTTTGAGTTCTGAAATAGCAGCTAGTGAGGAAGAACACTTGTTGGAGAAGTGAACAGTACTTCAAATAAAATTTCTAGTGTGCTAAGTTTGTGAATATTTGTCCTATTAGAGATATGATTAGGTTGTTTCTGATTTTTTTGTTTTGTTTTTGGTTTTTTTTCTAGACAGGGATTCTCTGTAGCTTTGGAGCCTGTCCTGCAACTAGTGCTTATAGACCAGGCTGGCCTTGAACTCACAAAGAGTTTTGCCTCTGCCTCCCTAATGCTGGGACTAAAGGCGTGCGCCACCACCGCCTGGCAGTTTCTGATTTTGTATTTCTTGGAATTTTCCTTGCATCATGTTGCATAAGTCTTACAAATTATGCAGTTTCTGTATTATAAAAATTTTTGATCTTTTTTTTTTTACTCAAAACATAGTTTCCTTCATGTATGTTTGTGTGTTTGTGCACACAGAGGAGCCATAAATATGTGCAGAGGTCCACAGCATCTACTTGTTTAATTTTTGAGACAGCTTCTTACTCCCTTAGAACAGTTGGGCTGGACTGGCTGGCCTCCAAGCCCCAAGGATTTTCCTGTCTCTGTCCAACACCCCCATATACTCTGGTTCTGAGGATCAAATTCAAGTACTTTTAGAGTTGGCAATACCTTACCAACTTCTATCTCTATCCCCAATAACTGTTATGTATAGCAGTTTTTATATAATAAACTGAGTTGAATATAACCTATAGTAAATGTTGTTTTGTACAAGTTAACCCAAATTGTTTAATGATTATAGGAATTCCTAGAGATTGTGATTTTAATACTTGTCGTTCTTGAGATTTTATTTTAAGTTGTCTTTCCCAAGTATATCAGTATTAGTGTCAAAACTATCTTCTGGTTTTCTTCCTCTTTATTGTTTCTCTATTCCTGAGGAAAATGGCCATTGTGGCCCTGATTTCAGCCATCAGATAACCAGATTCCTGTCTTTACATCTTAGGTTGATTAAAAGCTAAGTAATTAGAACTTCGAACTTTCCTATCTAAATGTTTGTCATTTCCTTCCAT